ACAGACACCTGGGTAGCAATCCCAAGCTGCCTCTTGATATAAGCTATCCATACACCAAGTTTGGAGTCAATACGCCAAAGCAAACTCAAGTTATTGAGCAGAAACTGAATTTCTATTTTTAGTAACAGTGACCTTGACCTAGATCACAGACACCTGGGTAGCAATCCCAAGCTGCCTCTTGATATAAGCTATCCATACACCAAGTTTGGTGTCAATAGGCCAAAGCAAACTCAAGTTATTGAGCGGAAACTGAATTTCTATTTTTAGTAACAGTGACCTTGACCTAGATCACAGACACCTGGGTAGCAATCCCAAGCTGCCTCTTGATATAAGCTATCCATACACCAAGTTTGGTGTCAATAGGCCAAAGCAAACTCAAGTTATTGAGCGGAAACTGAATTTCTATTTTTAGTAACAGTGACCTTGACCTAGATCACAGACACCTGGGTAGCAATCCCAAGCTGCCTCTTGATATAAGCTATCCATACACCAAGTTTGGTGTCAATAGGTCAAAGCAAACTCAAGTTATTGAGCAGAAACTGAATTTCTATTTTTAGTGACAGTGACCTTGACCTAGATCACAGACACCTGGGTAGCAATCCCAAGCTGCCTCTTGATATAAGCTATCCATACACCAAGTTTGGTGTGAATAGGCCAAAGCAAACTCAAGTTATTGAGCGGAAACTGAATTTCTATTTTTAGTAACAGTGACCTTGACCTAGATCACAGACACCTGGGTAGCAATCCCAAGCTGCCTCTTGATATAAGCTATCCATACACCAAGTTTGGTGTCAATAGGTCAAAGCAAACTCAAGTTATTGAGCGGAAACTGAATTTCTATTTTTAGTAACAGTGACCTTGACCTTGATCACAGACACCTGGGTAGCAATCCCAAGCTGCCTCTTGATATAAGCTACCTACATACTAAGTTTGGTGTCAATAGGACAAAGCAAACTAAAGTTATTGAGCGGAAACCAAAAGTTGACGCCCGCCCGCCCGCCGACTTCGGCATTACAATAACCCGGTTTTCGTTGAAAACCTGGTTAATAAAAAAACAAACTGACTTATCCTACATAGTGTATATGTACATAGCGAGTAGGCCAGGGTTCCCACTGTTTGACATTTTCAAAATTTAGCTAAGGACTTTTCCAGGACCTTTTTTAATTTTTTAGGACTTTTTTTTTTTTAGGAAATTAAATTTAAAGCTTTTTGATTTCTTTTGTCCTATGAATATTCATGGCAATGTTTAGAACAACATTTAAGTACAATGTACACCTTTTCAACATAATACATGTTATTCATGAAATAATCAAACAAGTTTTACACTACTGCAATACATTCAGTGTCTATGATTAATGAAATTTACTTTGTGACTGCTACTGTTTTTGCAGGTTGTTTTTGGTACTTTTATCTCACCTGATATTTTACCTCAGTCCACTAAGGCTGCATGGAATGGCAGAAACATGTCAAAATAAAGGTCCTGTCATAAACGCCCTATGAACACATCTGCAGATGTTTCTTAATTCATAATTTCATGTTTAAATGTTGAAGTCTGCTCAAGTCCTTGCTAAGGGGCTACAGGTATCTTTAGATTTGGATTTTTCAGAGATAATGAATTATTTTGTGTGAAAATATCTTGCTAGATTATATGTAGTTGCAAGGTACTAGCAAGTTCTTGAAACAATAGTCTGTTTTCTCCATTTAAGTTGGAAAGTCATCATGTAACCTGAATACTGTGTGGTTGTTATTTCAAATACAAACAAGAGCTTGTAACAGAGTTACCAACGTGAAGTTTTACATGAAGCACACAATTGTGCTATTTCAAAAGATTGAGGTATAGATCTGGACTTTCAGTTCAAAATTTTGATCAATGCTACATCTGCACATGCAAGTAACAATAAATTCATAATGAAATAACTCCTCATGTGTCAACAGAAATACATTTGTTTATTATATACTTATAAATGAAATATTGAGAAATATTGATGAAATAAAATGCGTATTTTCATTTTCCGTATTTTCACTGTAAAAATTTATTTTTCACTGCAGTGAAACATATTTTCCGTATTTTCACTGGTGTCTTGCCGGACTACTTTCTTTTAAATTCTGCCAGTACACAAAATTTAAGGGGAAGTCTTTCAAATTTTAATGTCAAAAAAGAGAAAAATGTATATAATAAACAGAAAATTCAAGTTTTTTCTATAAATACAAGATTTATTTTCATCTTGTGGCATGAAAATTACCATATTTCACTCGTGGCTACCGCCACTCATGAAATATTTATTTTCATACCACTCGATGAAAATAAATCATGTATTTATAGAAAAAACTTGAATATCCTCTATATAGTTTTTATCACTATTTCAAAGCCACAAAATGTGACAAATACAAAATCAGTACAGGGTATGGTCTATTGCAGGATATATTTTGTGTCCAGTCTGTAACTTTTTCATTGATCAAGGTATGTGTATCATTTATTCTCAAATAGACAATGTTGACTTTTAATCACCAAGTGTGACATTGACATTAGAGGAAGGGGTCCTGATGTTGCACACAACATTTTGTCTTTTTATAACATACATTTGTGCCAAGTTACAGTCCTGTATTTCAAATTCCTCTGATAAATGACTTAGTTATGGACCGGACACAAAAGTTTGACGGACAGAGCCTATTTCTATATCCTTCTTTTTTCTTTGAAAAGGCGGGATACAAAGTTGAACGAGCAGTAAAAATGTATATAATAGGCTTTTATTAATTATACTTTCATTTTCATTCTTTGTTTTATTAAAATGTATCTAACTTATGAAAAGGCATGCTTGTCCCTGCAAGGGATTACCATCGAGGACTTCCTTAACCAGTAAGGCATACAAGTAGCCAATGAACCAACCTTTACTCCTATGCACAAATGTACCATAATATAGATATTATGAAATTTTTACAGATTGAGTGCTGCCAAAGAGGGACAATATATCCCCTAACACATATCATTTCAATGATATTTTTGAGTGGTTTGTGTTGAAAAAAAAATCATGTATTAAATTGCTATGAAAGATGGAAGAGACCTCTTCTGTACATTATTTAAGGCACTTAAAGCAATTTGAGTAGAATCACTGACATTCTATAAGCTAGCTGTATAGTTTTCACCCATGTTAAATCTGACAGTGCTTGTGCGGCTTGAACCTGTTTGAAGTTAGTGACCTTAATCACTCAGCCAAATAAGCCCCTACATTGATGTAATAAAACATACTTTAGTACTAACAAATTCCATTAATTTCAACTGAATAAACCTCTTAAAGGAAGCAGCAGATTTTATTCTTTTTTGTTTTGGTTGGGTTTTACATCACATTAACGGAGTAGAGCTCATAAATCAACTTTTCAGCTTTACTGGTGAGAAAAACCTCAGGTGCTCCTCCATGCATTATTTCTGGCCTAAACAGGCACCCTGAGTAGAACCATAGCAATCAGTAAGCTACATGTAGCTTGATAGCTACCTCACATGTAAAATTCTAAGTCCCAAATGGGCGGTAAGGGACAAGTTCCTATAGAGGGTATTAATCTCCATCAACAAGAACTGTCGGAGGAAAGTAAGGCTCGACTATTCAAAAAGTTGTCACAAGGGTGTTTTATAGAGTATAATAATGCTTACCTATGAATACATAAAATTGACTGAAAAGGTACAAAGGCTTGTTATTAAGATGTTTTATCAAGTAAATCACTGCTTTATTATTATAAATGCATAAAACTGTCCCAAAAAAGGCACAAACCCTTCAGTAGTTATGGAGATAACAGCTTACAAGCAAAACTTTACCATGAATTTTTAAGTTGAAAAAGGGGAGAAAAATCAGCCTAAGTGCAAGATAGAATTATGGATCTTGGTCAGTGACCTACAATTATGACCCTAAATGCATATGTGAGGTTTTAAATAAATATCTTCGATGGTTATTGAGATATGTAAAACTTGCATGTAAACATTAACCAAGAGACTAAGTAGAAAAGGGGAGATAAATCAGCCTAAATGCAAGAAAGAGTTATGGAACTTGGTCAGTGACATACAAATATGACCCTTCATGCATATGTGAAGTTTCGATAGTTATTGAGATATGTAAAACTTACATGTAAACATTAACCAAGAGACTAAGTAAAATAGGGGGAGATAAATCAGCCTAAATACATGACACAGATATGAGTGCTATTCAGTGATCATTATTTATGACCACAAATATACATATGAAGTTTCAAGTTTGTATCTTTAATAGCAAAACTTGCATATTACACTTAACCAAGAAAAGGAGATTTTTTTTAGTACAAAAGGGAGCATAATTCAGTCAAAATACATGGCAGAGTAATGAATCTTGAGATGTGGCCTTCAATTATGACCCTAAGTACATGTGTAAAGTTTGAAGTAAATATCTTTGAAGACCTTTAACCAAAATTTTTAAGTTTCAAATGCAAATATTGCAGGCAGAATTATGCAACTTTGCAAACTGATGTACATTGTTACTATAAAAAAGTATTGTAAATTTCAATTGAATATCTCAAGCAATAATTGAGATATTTGACTTTAAAAAAAACTTTAACCAAATTTCTAAGTTAAAAGGGGCATAATTCTGTACATATTGTAGGCGGAGTTATCCAACTTGTAAATCTGATGTACATTGTTACTATAAATAAGTATTGTAAGTTTCAATTGAATATCTCAAGCAATAATCCAGATATTTGACTTTACAAAAAACTTTAACCAACGCGGACACCGGGGCGACTACAATAGCTCTCCATATTCTTCGAATAGTCAAACTAAAAATAACTAAACTAGACTAGTCTAATTTATTATCATCATGTATCATATTCCAAAGTCAGGAAGTCTTTCAAAGGTTTAAAGCAGAATTTCTCTTGATGAACTGTCTTTGCACACCAAAATAAGTTAATACCAAAGACACTTATAACACTCTGGATGTATAAAAACACTTCAGAAATATTATTGAGTAAAAAGAGCTAAAAAATGAAATAATACAATTTATTCAAATCTCTAACACTGATTCATACATGTAATAACTTGGCATACTATACATTATCAACATGTACTGTTACTTTCCTGTAATTGTTCAAAATATCTCTGGAATATTTTACACTTTATCTGTGGTTTTTTATAGTTTTTTTTTTTAATTGAAATAGTGATAACTTTGATTGAACATTCTTTTATTGTTTTAGCATGAAGATCTTCAAACTTGTAATACACACAATATCTGAAAATATACAAAAGATATTATCATATCTCATGGTTGATGCTGAAAAGTTGCACAAATTTAGAACTTACTCTATTGTTCTGTTACCTGTGGCGCCTTAAACCATAATGCTTCTTTCATTACTCATTTTATCACACACCCGTGCCGATTTTGCGACTCCGTAAATATGGTATTGCACGGCCGTGCATATATTTTGACATGACGTCATTAGCCTTATACAAACATAGTGTAAAGACGCGCTAAATGTTAGCTTTATACTATAGGCGCGTCAATGAAAAATGACTCTTATTTCACTTTAAACGGTCTTATTTTTGGTATTTGATAAATAGAATATTAAATTCGTGTAAGTTCATTACTGAATTTATTGCACACGATGAATAAAATAATATTATGCTCGCCAGAGGCTCGCATAATATAATTTTATTCAACTCGTGCAATAAATTCAATATTGAACTTACACTCATTCAATATCCTCTATATATTAAAACTCAAAAAATAAACACCAAGCAAAAACAAACAATAAGTAAACAACAACAAGAGAGCCATGGCCCATGGTAGCCACTAATTGCTTACCTGAGTATAATTATTAAATCTATTAAACATACATGTATATTCATTCTTATAAAATTTGACAAATTGACAATGTTTCCAGATGGATTGCATTGTTTTTCTGGATTTGACCTTGTGACCTTATTTTGTCTCAAGGTTATCAAACTTTAATCTTGTCAAAAATATAAATAAAATGCAATGTCCTTTCCACATTACATCATCATATAATCTGTCAAATTGTTATAATAAGTATTTTACACGGTTTAATTGCTTCTTTCTTCATAATTTTTATAACTAATTTCATAAATTTCCAAAGCTACTATTATGGATGCTATAAACTTCATTTAATGTCCAATGAATGTGATGTTATAATTATGTATCAATATAAATATGTACCATGTACTCCTGTTTAAATGCACCTAGAGTGATGTCTTTTGCAAAAAGACAAATATTTTCCAATACAAGATTAAACACATCCTTTCCTACTATTCAAAACACTTGCTCCCAATGTCATTTAAGATAGCTTTGGCATGTACTCCCCTCCCCTTTTTGAATACTGTACTTTTAGCGGAGCAAATTAAAGAGCTTTAAAGCATTAAAATGGGGTATATAAATAAAATGTAAACAAATTAAGAAATGGCTGTAAGGATAGAATTTATTTGTCTACTTACCAATAACAAAAATGTGACGCTTTTATTTTTCATTCATCATACACATCTTCCTTATCACATACATACTGTACTATAGATTCTGGCGTCATAAGACGGTCTGCATCTTGGTCAGGTATTTCAAATCCTTTTATGAAAGAAAAAGGCATACCATTATAACTATCATAAATCAAAGAACAGGAATTAGTTATCATTCAATAATACATAGATAATTTGATCAATTTCACATGAAAACCTGTCCCTGATGTTGTGAAAACAATACTAAATAATTGGAACAAAAATAAGTTACGGCTAGTTTATACCGCTATGCAGATACTGCAATATTATACCACTATGTAGATAGATAATCAGTGTTGACATGCATTATCCAGGTGTGGCCCAGTAAAAATATGAGGGCCAAATATATGTAAAAGGAATTATCGGTTGTAATTAAGTAAGTAAGGTATGGTAAAGTAAGTAAATAACTAATGTTGCATTCTGTACATGTAATAGCTTTAAATGGTTTATGATAGAAAGATAATTGAATTAGCAAGTGCAAAATCTTTAAACAATTGGTTGCAACATCAAATTGGCAGATATTGTAATATCGGAATAGAATCAATCTTGCAGATTTACATACATCATTTCTCAACATATATTATAAAACAATCAAATATGCATTTAAAAGGGTAACTAAAATCCTTTACAAAAATAACAAAATACTGACAACTTAACCAAATTCAATAATTTGATGTTGGTCAAGGTCATTTCAAGCTCAAGTTCAGTTCACCTGATTAGAATGTCTTGTCCAAAAGGTTGCTTTGTCTAGGTATGAAGATAATCCATACATTAATTACTCAGTTATAGTCAACTATAGCAAATGTCAACGAAAATTCAATAATTTAACCTTCAAGGCAATAAATGAGTCAAGGTCAATTTAAATAAGATATGCATGAAGGTCACCCTAAAGATTGTTGTGTCTTAATAGGAATTCAATTCATTTAATAATAACTAAGTTATAGCCACTTACAGCAAAATAGAAAATTTCAATAATTTGACCTTTACAGTCAAGGTCATTTATAGATGAAGGTTAAGGTCTCTCTGGTAAACTTGAAGGTCTATTCTAAAAGATTTGTTGTGTTCAAGTTTGAAGACAATCCATATAAAATAACAAAGTTACAGTTTCTAATAGCAAAAATCAAGCAAAATTTTGATATTTGACCTACAAGGTCATGGTCATTTATGAATGAAGGTCAAGTTTAGTCTGTTCGACATGAAAGTTTTATCAATAGTGTTGTGGCCAAGATTGAAGACAATACAAAGTTATGATGATCATTAAATTTTGCAGACAGCAATTGAAACGCCGACATGACTGTAACTACACCTCTATTTTTTCCTTTGAAAAAAAAAGTGAACTAAAAATGATCAATGAATCTGAACATACCAAATTCATCTTCCATTGCCATGATAACTTCTACAACATCTAAACTGTCCAATCCTAAATCATTCATAAAGTGTGAAGTCAATGACAGCTGGAAAAGAAATCAGTTTATACACTTAACATATACATAATTATAAAACATTATTTAATTAGTATACAAGTCATGGTCATTCACAACAGAGTAATAGTAGTTAATTTAGAACTAATACTAAAATATAAAATATTTATAATCATTATACGAAGTTAGATTCAGACAACATATTTACAAGGTAAAAAATTTAATACAAAGACCTAAAATGATACCACAATTAATTGTTATGAGATTTAAACAACATATTTAGAAGGTAAAAAATTAATATACAAATGCAGAGCCTAAAATTATTACCACAATCTACTGTTATACCTATTATTAAAAAAAAAATTGTATAAAAAGAACTATGATAAAACATCAAAATCAAGTTAACTGGCAATACACATGTTCCATTTTTCCTAATGAAAGATAACAGGTTTGGAAGGCTGGCAATATTTTTCTCTGACAAAATAATTTTCAACTTATTCTCAGACTCAAAATCATCAGAGCCCTGATACAGGGTTTATGCTGTGGTGAAAAACTCTTATCAATGTTCAAGTGTTTTGTGCAATGCCCAATCATTAAAATTACTAGAACTAGCACATAGCAGTATTACTAATTGTTAAAAATAATTTGACAGCTTTATTAACTTTGCGTAAGTATATTTGTCAAAAGGAGAGATATGGTTCTCTAACTGACAACATATTTCTAAACTTACAGATGTTTCTATAATTTTCATACTTGTCCAATGAAATAATTCATTAATTCAAAGCATTTATTAACAGAACTAAAGTCCTTTTTACATAGATTGTTTTCAAATTCATCAATACATGTCCTCTATTCAATTTAAGTAAGAATTTACTTGCAGAAATAAGTTCAAAGTATGACAGATTAACTTTTTGCAATCAATTGAAAATCTGAACAAAAGTGTACCTTTTCGGGATCAACTTTATCATAAAGTTGCAAAACGAGAATGACTCTTTCTTTAACATGAGATATTGTGAGAGCTGGCTTCTGACCATAATATCGAGGGTTTTGAATTGCAGTTTTCTGAAAAGAGAATAAAAAAGTAGTACCTTTTCTGCATTAACTTTATCATAGTCTTTACACACTTGCAATACTCTCCACTTGATCTCATCTTCTGTCAATCGTTTTACAATATATGGTCTGTACAACAACTTGCAGGTACCATTCTATACCAGAAAAAAATATAACTGATTTTATGATTGGTTTGGATGTTATTACAAGCGCAGAGAGCTAAATATTGGAAAAGCAATTCAATGTTCAAGAAATATATCTATCTGTTCAATGAAATAAAACGCTTCTCTTTAGCTTTCAGCGTTATTTATTTTCTTATAATATTATCAACCATACTAATTCTATTTCAATATGATAACCAAGGCTTTTTTTCAAAGGGCCTTTTAGAAATATGGCTGGAAAATACCCTGATATCTCTAACATTTATTTTATCAATTTAACAGTCAATGAATTTAAGATTTTGAATTTACTAGCCCAAATACCAGTTTTTAATTTATTCTACTAAATTTTCTTAAAATTTTCACTGGCCATGGGCCACCGGGCCAGTGCTAAATTTGATGACTGATTTAACAAATTCTTTAAATTATTGATTAAATAAAAGCAATTTAACTAATTGTACAATGTATATCAAATCAAGGGTAAATGCATTTATCACTGTGAACTTGTAACAGTTTAAGACAAGAGCCGACAGATAGAGGGCCAACTGGCCATTTCTCTATTTATTTTAATACGAATCCTGCAAGAATGTGCTGAATTTTTCTCATTGCTTAATTTTAACTAACAATGGTATTATAATAACATTATTAATTAATTATTAACAAATTACAAGTCCTTACACATCAATTTTCTACAATAAGAAAGAATGAAAATCATGCTTGAAGTTGAGTAATAGGTCTTGAAATGTGATCTGAAGTTTTGACTGAAATGAATATATCTTCTACATTAAATGAAATATGAAGCTTCACCTAAATTAACACCTTACTCAAGTTGTTTTCTAGTTTCTAGGGTTGCAACCATTCACCAAATGTTTGTTTCAATTTCAAGCACCCTGATTTGATTATTTTCAATTAATTTCATGTGTCCTTAGTTGACAATTCTGCTTATTTGCTATAACAGAGAGTGACTCTAAACATAGTGTTTTGCATTTCTTTCGTTGTATAACCAGTTTTTCTTTCAAAGCGCGTTTTTGACGCATTTTTTACGGCCTTGACGCAATGAGATCAATCTGTGCGTTTCCAGTGACGCGTTAATTTATTCTCCATTAATTAATTTACAGTAAACCTCAAATTATGACAGTTTCAAATCCATTGCAAACTATTTAACAAATTTAAATTCAAATCATACACTGCTTTGATTTTACAACTTAATACCTTTCAATTTAAAGGGACTCCACTGAGGTTTTTTGACATGGAAATAATTCTTTTGAGATTATTACTCTATTTGATTTAGATCTATACTAATAACTTAGGTGCAAAATTTCAGATCATAAGCCCGCTCCGTTTTTCCAGAATAATTATTATAATAGTGAAAAATGACCCAAAATTGAAAAGCGTTTGAACGCTTTTCACTCCAATCGGACTTAGAATAGCACAAACGTATGATTTTCAATGTGTTTCTTGTATATTTCTTAGTTATGTTTTTAAATATTTCTGTTTAAAGTGCTCATGTTTATCTATGTGAAAAATTTAAATGTTATGTTTTAGGCTTATAAACCTCATTGGAGTTCCTTTAATTATCCGTTTATCAGACAAAAATTCTCTTTCATGCACCCAAGAGGACAATATAATTATATCAAATTATTGTCCACTGTCCACTTTTCTATCAATTAATTATCCAATTTTCAAAACAAACTTGTATGTACTACACAACCCTCTTGTGTTACACATTTCACAGTACTGCTAGTGATGTAGCTTTACGATCAAATATGGAAAAGGATGATGCAACTGTGTAAACAACTGCCTTGCTGATAAAAATTTAAGTTGTCAGTACATATTAAGCTGCATGAATTACAGTAGCTAACTGGGGGTAATTAAATTCATTAAAGAACTTTTTCTTCTATTTATAGATTCTTCAAATTATTTTTATGCAACATTTTCTTTTCTATTCATCTATTATTTTCAATGGCTGAATGAATGATAGGAAAGAGGCTAATAAAATGGAGGTTCCAGTTCTTTTATATACTTCTTGGTTAGGCTATAGAAAATAAATTCCCAGATTCTCATCCCCGCCCGCCCGGCAAAAATCTCTCCGCCTGAACGATTTTTATTTTCAAAAAAAAAAAAAAAAAAAAAAAAAAAAAGGCACAAAAGTTTATATCTAGAACTTAACATTTGATTACCACATGTAGAACTTAACATTTGATTACCGTGTACAAATGCCGAGGACTGAATGTATATAAGTGCATGATTATTATCTGTGCGGCCGAAAGTCCGTCGGCCTCGGTCCTGGCTGAATAAAAATCGGATCATGCGGTCCGAGATAATTTTCTTACTGCCAATCCTCGGGTTCTAATAAAATTTCAAAGAGCTAAGGATAACCAGTTTTGACAGTTAAATAGAAATTTGATAAAGAACTTTAATTGACCCACAGAAGACCAATTTTTGACAAGTAAGATTAACAGCTGTGAGCTTGTCTTCATAAACAACATCGGTAAATTTTGCCGTAAATTACAAATTTGGATTTATTTTTTACAATGCCTTTTTAAGATAGAGAATGAATAATCATAAAATATTTAATCTGATAAAATCAAAATCAACAACAACTAGAATTGTGAATGGCCATGCAGGAAACAGGTTTTTTTTATTTGTCACATATTTTGCGATGCCGTTTTTTTTTATGGGTAATTCTCTGTACTTACTAAATACCAAATTTTCAATAGGTTATTTGCTATTATGTTTGCTATGTGATATATAAATAGGATTTTCTTTTTTGTGTAGCTTTATTGGTTGATTGATTAATTTTGAACAGACTTCACTCCAGACAAAAGTAATATTGATAGACATAGTATATCTTTATTCAACTCTTTTATAAATTTAGAATGTCTTATTTTGTAACAATACAAGTATGTACTTATTTTGTAACAATACAAGTATGTATTGGTTAATATTTTGTCCAAACATCAATTTGTTTAATGTCAGAATTTGAAAGGCTCAATAAAACATGTAATAAAACAATCAAGATATATTATCATGTTGCTTCTATTCTCAATCTGAATCTATATATTTTACATACACACAATATAAGCACCTAAATAGCTTATAATAGAACTAATTCTCAAATATTGACCTCCTCGCATGTAATTCAAGACCGAGAATGGAAAATAAAAAATAGAAAATAAAATCCACCCACCCGCCCCATTTTTTTCCAAAATATGGATGAGAATTAGTTATTTATTTTCTATTGCCTTAATAAAATAAATGGTTTGGCATGACCCTCAAAATTTTCAATGACCCCTAAAATCTGATGCAGGGGATCAAAAATGACCCCCAAAAAATTGGAGCTGGAAGAAACACTGTATAACCATTATCTTAACCTATTTGACTTTTTATTACCAATAGTGTTTCTGAAAGTAAAAAGTGGTCTATAACAATCTTAATGAAACAAATATCACAATAATATGACAAGTACACTTGCAGATCTGATACTAAAAATATATCAACATCAGTGCCTTCTTTTCATGTATTGCATCAGAGTCTTTCAAATTGAATATTCTGGTTGAAACCAGTTTGTTGAACTTCCCAACTTCGGACAAGACACACCAACAAAACATATCTTAAGTGTTGCTTTGTTTAATTCCTTACCCTTGCGAAACCTGAAGTGTTCCTACGCACTTTATTCAAGTTTGTTGGAGGATAATTTAGATTTATTTTTTCTTCTTTGACGTTTGAAGCAAGTCTGATTTGCACTAGTTACAGACTCAGTGATTGGATGACAAACTCAAATTAACCAATCATATGTAAAAATGTAACGCATTAAACCAGTAGACTAGTCAAAGAGGAACTCAAACTTGCATATTTTCAATGTTTATTGTTGGTTGAGAATCTAATTGAAATTGTTACAGATGACATCAGAATTTGAATCGGCGCCAACAAAACCAGGTGCAAGTTAAAAATATCAGAAATCCTGAAAACCCAAAATTTAGTATTATTTTAATTTGTTTTATATGGAAGAAGAGAGCTTTCAAGAGTGGCAAATGCCTGAACACTTGTACTGTACACAAAGCAATTTTGACATGAGCTGAAGAACTACTGTATTAGTAAAACATGTGCCTAGGAAATACAGGAATCAAGGGTTACAAAGGAATAGAATAGTTTAAAATGAATATTTGTACTATAGATGAAAGTTTTATCTGTGAATGCGTGATATACAACAATGATTTAGAAGACATGTGAAGGTTAAGGCTAAGAGATGATTGCTATATCATATGAAGTATAATGTAGATATTCAAACTTTATATGAAGTGTCTTGGGGGGGGGGTGAAGTGTCTTGCTACTATTTCACCGTAGGGAACGTGTTACAGTATCGAGTTTTTCGGTTACAGTATAGAATTTTAAAGACGGAGGATTATTTGTTGGGAAGAGAGGTAGGTGATTTTTATTCCGGTCCATACTACAAGTAGTTTAGTTTTTAAAAGATGTTTTTGTGCTTTGCTTGTAAGGAACAGAATCCGGTATCTAGTCATATATTTCTTCAGACCCTGCACCGCATATTTATCGCTATATTGTCTCATAAATATGCAGATTTGACAGTTTGAAAATTTGAATCGAGAGACCAACGCATTTTTCTGCAATTTCGACATTATTTATGCATGCCTAGAAAAAGTAAATCTGCAAAATGTTAGTCCTTTATGTTAGGAAACGTTTATAAAAGTAAATGACAAGTTAAACCTATTTTCCTGTTGGTAAAATGCGTTTGAAAAAGTAAACAATGTTACAGTATAGAGGGAGGTAATTTATGCAAGGTTACAGCATAGACCTAGCGATTTGTATCCGATTTTGTTACAGTTTATACCCAGATTTCTGTTACAGTTTAGACTTCGATATTTTCTATATAATTATACTAGGTAAAATGTATGAATGTTACATAGACTTTTAAATCTCTGTGAGCTTATTGGCCCGATGGCTATTTGTCCGTCTGTCGTACACATGTGTGTGCAATCTCATCCGCTCAGTAACTACTTGACTACATGTGATGAAATTTACATGACTTACTACCAATTAAGTTGTTCAAATGGTTTCGGTTGCAATCGGGGATACGAAAACCCAAAACATAGATTTTGAAAAAAGGCAATGTTTAAAGATCCTTCTCATCTCGAACCAAAAGCATTCAAATCAAATCATGATCATGGCGTCATTTCGAATGCTTCTTTGCTGAAGTTACGATTATTTTGTCATTATTAAATTAAAAGTCGTTTTTATTTTTAATTTCAGACTTCCTGTATAGCAGTTTTCATGTTTCTAAAAAAAAGAAAATAATATTGAAAGTTATAGAGTATAAATTAAGGTCAGACAATTACAATATATTCTCTAGTGAGCCTGATGGAGGTACATAATAGTGGCAGAGTCGGGATAAGGCCGTCGACTTCAAATCATCTTTCATTTACTGCTGTAGTTGAAATCCTATCATGACTTTGGATTGTATCAAGCTAATTTATGGAAGGTAGGTGGTTCTAGTCAGGCGCTCGTGTCTGAAATGTTTCACAAAGGGTATCTGGGGTCTTTCTTTACACTAAAGCAGGAATGTTTTCACATGACCTCAGTGTCGTTGAAACTTAAAATCCAAGAAAGCCGAACGTAACAAAATAGAGTTAAACAGAATCCCTAAAGAAATTCCAACACAACAAAATTGAAAATGTTCATGAACCCTTTTAAATACTTACAAAATACATTATGGTAGATGGAAATTCCAGCTTAGAATTTAAGGTTGCAGTATTGCTCACAAAAATACTTTTTAATCATTCTTAGGGTATTGCCTGCTTGTTAATTGTGTCTTTTGACAGCTTATCTATGGTATGCTGGCTTCATAACCTCCGATCCCCTCTCAAAATTTCCTTTTGTTTAGTTTTACTCATTGCATTCTCGTTTAGGGCACACGCAATTTTTAACCTGGGGGTAATATGCCGCTTTTCATAGAATGGCAAAAACGTGTCACATTGAAGGTTCGATGATAACCGCCATATGAACACATCCACAGATGTTAAAAAATCTGAAGTGTACCAGTTCATGTTTAATGTGAATTCTGCTGAAGCCAATATTAGGAGGCGTGAACGGTAGCTTGCAATTACCACTACCGTCCATGAACAGGTTAAATCAAACTGAGCCTGCAACATTTTCGTGTTTTCCATGTTGGACTTCTGTTAAGGATTCTTTTTTCTCTATTTTATTACTAATAGGCATTATTATAATGTGTAATGAAATCAAGCAATAATCTTTCTTCTCTCATTACAATTCGATAAAAGTTACTGTTGTTGTCGTGAAAACAGTCCTTACTTAGGACATTACTTATTCTGCAAAAAGTCTCAGTAAGAAAAATAGCAAACTATAACTTTTCTGCTGAAGAAAACAGTTATACAACCTTTCAAGAATGTATTAAATAGAAAGGTATGAGTTATTTCATAAAAATAATGGATACACAAACTTTGTTTGAAATTTGGCAAGTATCTAAACTGTAACAGAAATCTGGGTATAAACTGTAACAAAATTGGATCAACGTCACTATGTCTATGCTGTAACCCTTCAAAATTAACCTCGCTCTATACTGTAACATTGTTTATTTTTTCAAACGTATTTTACGACCAGGAAAAAAGGTTCAACTGGTCATTTACTTTTATAAACGTTTCCTAACATAAAGGACTAACGTTTTGTAGATTTACTTTTCTAGGCATGCATAAATAATGTCGGAATGGGAGAAGAATGCGATGGTCTCTCGATTCAAATTTTCAAACCGTCAAATCTGCATATTTATGAGACAATATAGAGATAAATCTGTGGTGCAGGGTCTGAAGAAATATATGACTAGATACCGGATTCTGTTCCTTACAAGCAAAGCACAAAAACATCTTTTAGAAACTACACTACTAGTAGTATGGACCTGAATAAAAAATCACCTACCTCTCTTCCCATAAATAATCCTCCATCTTGAAAATTCTATACTGTAACCGAAAAACGCGATACTGTAACACGTTCCCTACGGTGTATTTATATAACCAAAACCGAACTGAACCATTGGGACCTGAATCATGGGAATACTAATGTGGTTAGATAATGTGGTAATATGTCAAGGTTTTTGAATCAAAATTGATATGAGAAATACGCATAACACAGTCCTCAATCCAATTTGAGGGAAGTGGGCTGCTACCATTAGCAGGGGGACATTTCAGTTAATGGGGGATATTTTTCCATTTCTGGGATATCTAAGGAAATTTAAATAGAACAGCCAGCTTTTTTTAACCAGATTTTCTGTTAAAAAAATCAACAGTCGAACATCCAGTATTTCATACACGAAAAAAGTCTGCTCTTAAATCCTTATCAACTATATAATGTACTATCCGATTTACTATACTACTTCTCATAAACCGGGTGACATTGGAACTTTTGGAAAACCTTGAACAGAATTGATACCTGTGGTGCTAATAATTTTGTTGAATTTCTGCAATTGTGAATCGTTCTGTCTTCTTGTCTGCAATGGAGTAGTGAGACAGAAGATACACGTGGAAAGACGCTTCTAGCAACAGTTTGGAGGCAATTTGTTGCCCGGACCGTCTTCAGCAAGGTGGCAGCCATTTTTAGTTTTTATCGAGTAAGGGAGGCAACTTTAAGAAATAAAGCTTCAGACAACTAAATATTTTAAATGTGAACGCAACTAATTTTCAATAGACACGAAGGTGTATTTAAAAAAAAAGGAAAAAACATCATACTGATATTCTAATTAATTAAAGCCTTGAAAATTTATAAGATTGTACATTTCTACTGTATTGTAAAGATGATTAAAAAATTTATTTCCATAAAATATGAAAATGTAAAAATCCTAAAGAAATGTTCATTTGAATGAATTTGTCTCAGCACGTACTTGGGCTGACCATAAAAAATTAAACATAACAGATACAATTTTACGTTAAATTAATTTGTCATGGAAAATTAAATTGAATGATTTAACACAGACATATATACAATATATTTATTCTAATCTAATTTACGAACACCAGTCCGGGTTTCGGAAATCTCATTCAACCGACACATGTCTTATTTACCTACTTGACTATATCCGTACATATAGCTCCAAAGGGTTACTCACTGGTGTGGTTATGATGGACTTACAAAAAGCATTTGATACCGTCAATCATGATATTTTGTGTGATAAATTAGATATATAAGGTGTCAAATCTATTTCTTGGTTTAAATCATACTTGTCAGGAAGGTATCAAAAAGTAAGTATTGGTAAAGTTTTTCTGACTCAATTCCTATTACATGTGGGGTCCCTCAGGGCAGTATTTTGGGTCCTCTTCTATTTCTCTGCTACGTTAATGACATATGCTAACTAGTATCGATTCTGATTACAAGTTAATTTTATATGCAGATGATAGCACAATATTATTTTCGCATAAAGATCCAAAATTATAGCCCAAAAACTTGGAAAAGTTTTGGAACGATGCTCAGATTGGTTAGTTGATAATAAATTATCTCTACACCCGGGCAAGACTGAATGTATGCTATTTGGTTCTAAATCAAAAATTAATAAATTACAAAAAATTTCCATTTCATGTAATGATCAAACAATAAAGTCTTCGTCTGAAATTAAATATCTTGGTTTGAATACCGATTGTTACCAATCAGGAGATAAAATTGTCAAGAGCATTCTTTCAAAGGTGAATGGAAGATTACATTTTCTATACCGTTACAAAAATTGTTTATCGGAAGAAATAAAGAAACAGTTAATAAGCTTTTAGCTTAATGGGCAATCCTAGGGTAACATAGAACATACTCATTGATTAATCTTATAATTATTTTTGTTGCATTTATGTGTGTGTTTTTATCTATATGCAAGTTGATATATGTGATAATATTGTATGTGTTTATGTCTATTCCCTGAATAAATCGATACGATATTTAACTCCATGGATTTACTGTAATAAATAAACTTCATATCCTACTTTATTTTCACGTTATCACTATACGCTTGGACAGAAAATGGTACTTGTTATGATATCAAGATCAGATAACTGTTTACATGTTTAGTTGTATAGTTAGATATTCATTAATGCTATGTTATATATATGATCATGCCTCTCTGATACCTGAGTCATTCTCACTTGAGCTCTGGTCTTAACAACATGTATTAAATGGTTATAATAAATAGTAGAATAGTTTGAATCATGTTATCATCCATACAACATAACATGGTGTCAGAAGTAAACTAAAGGAATAATATTGTAATAAAAGGAATTTAATAAAAAATTATTTGGAATCGGATTTAACAAGCATTCTGGAAAGAAATTAAATTGTGCGCATCACAAACATTTAACTTTCTTCAGAGAAATCAATTAATTCTACAGCTCTACAATGGATTTAAATGGTGTACCCATACCATCAATGAACTGGGACAGTCAGAACCCTATGGAGGAGTTCAAAAAGTTAAGGCAGCATGCAGAACTTATATTTAGTGGCGCGTTAAGAGAAAAAGAAGAAGAAGTACAAGTTACTTACTTATTACTTTGGATTGGTGATAGAGGCCGCCAGATATATAATACTCTTACATTAACTGAGCCCCAAAGAAAATCAATAAAGGCAATTTCGGATGCAATTCAAAAACATCTACAACCAAAATCAAATCCTGTATTTAGCAGATACAAATTCCACAATGAAAAACAGGCAAACAGTACGATAGAACAATTCATCACACGTCTAAAAACATTAGCAAATGATTGCGCTTTTGATGCAGGGTACAGAGATGATGTCATACGAGATCAAATAGTTATTGGAATTACGTCGGAAAAAGTTCGTGAAAAACTTATCACAGAAGGTGAAGCATTGACTCTCGAAAAAGCAGTCAGGATATCACAGTCACATGAATATACACAGGCACAATTACGAGATATGACTAATTCCAATAGCATTGATGACATTCATCATAAACGACATTCCACGTCAAAACACCAAAACGAGACTGGAAAGAAACACAATCACCATTCAAGAGTTAGACAAAACCAACAGATAACAAAATGTGGAAATTGTGGACAGTCACATCACAGCAAAGATCGATGTCCGGCAAGAGGAAAACTATGCAAGAACTGCCATAAATGGAATCACTATGCAGTTGTGTGTAGGTCAAACAAAAAAGTGCATGAAATCGAAACCGGAAACAATAACAGTGACAGTAACAGTGACAGTGAATTTTGTATTGGTGCAGTTGATTCACATTCAAAGGGACATGTATTTGTTGATTTACAGATGGGCTCTAAAGGTTATTTTAAACAGTTTAAACTTGACACAGGGGCATGCTGTAACATCCTTTCTGAGGCAGATTTCAAATCCCTCAAGGTCAATACCCCCTTAAAGAAGCCAACTGTCAAACTCACTGCTTACTCAGGCACTGAAATTAAGGTTCTAGGAGTAGTAGATCTCTCATGCAGCTACAAGAAGAAATGCACAAAACTTGTAGAATTTTATGTAGTGAGAACAAACAAACCCTCCATCCTAGGTTTACAATCATGCCTTGACTTCAATTTAATTCAAATTGTAATGTCCGTAGACCAGAATGAGCAAATAAGTAAAAATTCTGTCTTGCGTGACTTTCCTGAAGTTTTTCATGGCTTTGGAAAATTACCTGGTGCTTGTTCGATCAAAGTAGATCCCAAGTACTCTCCAGTAATTCATCCTCCCCGACGCGTTCCTGTAGCTCTTCAAAGCAAGGTTAAAAAGGAACTTGATGCTATGGAAAAGGTCACCACACCAACAAATTGGGTGAATAGTATGGTCGTAGTCAATAAGCCACATTCTGATAAAGTTAGAATTGTAATTGACCCTAAAGACCTTAATAAGGCAATCCATAGGCCACATTATCCTACAAAAACCTTAGATGATATTTTGCCGCAGTTAAAATCTGCAAAATATTTCACAAAACTTGACTGCAAATCAGGTTACTGGTCCTTTGTTTTAGATGATGAATCATCATATCTAACCACATTCAACACCCCTCAAGGTCGTTATAGGTATCTCAGATGTCCCATGGGACTGAAATGCAGCCAAGATCTTTTCCAGCAAAAGATGGATGAGTGCTTAGAAGGCTTACTTGGTTGTAGTGTCATTGTAGATGACATTCTTGTTTATGGTTCAACTCGAGAAGAGCATGACATAATCTTAAGAAACTTACTTGATAGGTGCCGCCAAAAGGGCATTAGGTTAAACGAAGACAAACTTGTTGTTTGTGTCTCGGAGGTTAAGTATTTTGGTCACATCCTCTCAGCTGATGGATTGAAACCAGACCCCGAAAAATGTAGGGCTATCCAAGAGATGGAAGCGCCTAAAGACAAGTCTGAGCTTAAGACAATACTTGGCATGATAACTTATCTATCTAGATATATGTCCCAAACTTGTCCGAGATCATTCATCCACTCTCAGAAATATTAAAGAAAAGATGTCATTTTTCACTGGGATGCTCCTCAAGTTCAAGCATTTCAGAAAGTCAAAGACATACTTACTGAGTGTCCAGGCCCAGTGTTATCTTATTTGATCCAAATAAGGCACTAGTACTTCAGTCTGACAGTTCTCAGTATGGCTGTGCTTCTACTTTAATGCAAGATGGAAAACCTATAGCCTTTGCAAGCAAATCTTTGACCAACTCAGAAAGGTCATGGGCCATGATTGAAAAAGAACTCATTGCCATAGTATTTGGCATGACAAAGTTCAGACAATATATCTACGGTAGGCACATAACTGTAGAAACAGATCACTTACCCTTGATCAGTGTTGTTAAGAAATCCCTATACAGTGCACCGGCAAGATTACAAAGGCTCTTATCAGCGTTACATGGTTATGATTTTGAGTTGCAGCACAAAGCAGGCACTCAAATACCCGTTGCTGACACATTGTCTCGGAAATATTTGCCAGATACTTATCCAGAAATTTCCGAAAATACCAATATGCATGTTCACTTCATAACAAAAAACTTGCCATACACAGATCAAAACCTTAGTGAAGTAAGGTCAAAAACTGAGTCAGATCCAACACTCAGGACCTTGAAACAAATCATTCTTCAAGGCTGACCTGAAAAACGCAAATATTGCAATTCTCAAGTTCTAGAATACTGGAATTATAGAGATGAACTCACTGTTGTAGATAATATCATCTACAAAGGTCAAAGATTGATTATTCCTAAGTGTCTAAGATCTGAAATGTTAAATTTGCTACATAAAGGTCACCCAGGTCAGGAACGTAGCTTCCGCAGGGCACAAATTTCTATGTTTTGGCCTAACATTAGCAAAGACATAGTGCAGAAAGTGCAACAGTGTTCTGTATGTGCAGAGCATCAAAGGTCAAATTCAAAGGAACCCTTGGTTTCACATGAAATCCCTAAGTATCCATGGCAGGTAATAGGTACTGATGTATTTACATTAGATAACAAAGACTACTTGTTAGCATGCGACTACATGAGCAACTATTTTGAAGTTGACATGATTAAAAATACAAACAGTAGCACTATTATTAAGTTAATGAGAACTTGGTTTTCAAGACATGGTATTCCCCAGAAAATAGTTTCAGATGGTGCTAGTTATTACACATCACAAGAATTTAAAGAATTCACAACTAAATGGGACATAAAGCATGTAAGGTCATCACCTCAATATCCCCAAAGTAATGGCCTTAGTGAATCATGCGTGAAGAAAGTAAAAACATTGCTTAAAAAATGCAAGCAAGATGGAACAGACCCTTTGATAGCAATTTTAGAATTACGTGCTACCCCGCTAAGCATAGGTTATTCTCCCACTGAAATCCTAATGGGAAGACAAATATGGACATTTATACCCATGTCTGAATAGAACTTAACACCCAAAACAACAGATTTTAAGAGAATAAGGTCACTTCTTGAAAAACAAAAATGCATTCAAAAGAAAAATTATGATAAACATTCAAGGCCCCTTAAACCATTTAACATAGGAGAAAATGTTAGAATTCAGCAGGGAAAATCTTGGAATCCCGCTGTCATTCAAGAGAAATTAGACAATCGCTCCTATTCTGTAGAAACACCTGATGGTGGTCAATATATCAGAAACAGGCAACATCTAATGAAGATTATACCTGCCAAGAATAATGGCCCTCCATTAAACACTGATAACAATTCAAATTACACAGGCCATTTGTAGTAATCAAGACACAGCAGATTCCCATGATAAACTTTCACACCAGTTAACCTCACAGCATGCCAGTGTCAAGAGTGATAATCTGACCTTTAATCACTCAAAGTCGCCTGCATCAACAAATACTCTCAAACTGCCAAACATTTATCCAGAAGCTTATGTAACTCGTTCTGGGAGGCAGGTTAAACCAAAGATAATTCAGTCGGTGTAAAATAAGTGTATATATACACATTGAACAAATAGGCATAAATTGCAGTAGTGTTTATTGTGCTTTAAACAGAAAAAGTACAAAGTTTATATTGACAGTATGAAAGCATTTTCTAGGACAAATTTATCATAATAATTAAATGTGTTTATCTCAAATTGATTAATTGATGTCAGTCTTGACATGGACATTATTTTTATTGCTTAATGCTTTCTCAGAATGAATTGACATATATTGCGGACAAATGTTTATAAGCTTCTCAGATTTCAAACAAAGGGAGATGTTATGATATCAAGATCAGATAACTCTTTACATGTTTAGTTGTACAGTTAATGGGATTACTTCCCTTTACTTGATATTCATTAATGCTATGTTATATATATGATCATGCCTCTCTGATACCTGAGTCATTCTCACTTGAGCTCTGGTCTTAACAACATGTATTAAATGGTTATAATAAATAGTAGAATAGTTTGAATCATGTTATCATCCATACAACATAACAGTACTGTAAATAGTTACTAAATTTTTGTCCCAGCTCTGAACCTGCAGTCAATAGTTAAGGTTATTCATCTCAATTCACCCAACACGAGGCATTGTAATTTGTTCAGTCTCAATACATTTTTTACTCACAACATAACACAACATGACAAGTATTTATTCGGAAACAGAAGTTACGAAGTTACGAGGGTGCTTCAAAAAGTAATGTTTCTTGATAAATAACATGAAGACGGCCAATAGTGCTTTACCCTTTCCCTCATGAGCATATTGTGAAAAATGGCCGTTTTCATTGAAAAGCCTCCTGTTACACGTTCAAACTGCTGTGAAACTATGAAAAATGTTTCAATACTAATCAAACTTGGCAGAAATGTTGACTGGACCATTGCCTTTGTAATGACATGCTCAGTCTAAATTTCCTGTTACCATGGCAACGAGGGGACATCTCAAAATTGCCAAAATCACTATTTTGCCTGGTTTTCCATCAAAATCGATTTTAAAGTGCTGCAACTTCTTAATAGATTGAAATAGAGTCGAAGGCTTTTCGGCGTTGGTTACACGTTACACGATATTAATGAAATAACATTACCGCATGCCCCCTCTACTGGCAAATTATCTCTCTAATAGACTGGAGAAGCTTACAAACATGAAAACCAGCACAACAACAAAGCATGATAAAAACTTTTATGTCGTCTGTGAGGCATATTTACAGAATGGAATGTATGCGAAAAATCTGTGAATGAATATCCAAATGCAGTATTCAAAGGGTGCTACTGGGGCGTGAGGGATGTTGCATTAAGTGTTGAGAATGGAGTACAGACTTGATCAAACTGAGCCTGCAATTTTCATGTAATTTTGTTGTAATTAATGATATCAAGGGATCACTTTATTTCAAGATTTTTATACTTTACAACAGGTGTCAAGTGCCGTGTGGCAGCTGTAAGAAGTTGCCCAGTACTTCACTTCAGTGTTGTTATATTTTTCATTATCCTTCATGTACCGTCTTAATTAAACCGACTCTGCAATTTTCATGTAATTTTGTTGTAATTAATGCTACCGATTGATCACTTTGTATCCAGATTTCTATACAATACAAGAGGCCATCCATTTCTTCATCACAGATAACTCCTTTACAAAGTGTTGTGAAATCCCAATTTATAGTAGATGAAGAATACGTAAGGTACGTCATGACTGTTGCAATAAGGCACAGCCATCCATTCGGATGATGAGAAAGAAGTGCCTTGAAAAACCAATGACTGTCCAGTAAATGATATTTGCGATACACTTGATACAATAAAAAGAAATAAAGAATCGCTAGAGAAAGCCCAACAAGACAAAATTGAAAATGTTGCAAGCTCGGTTAAATTGAGCCTGTTTATGGACGGTAATGGAAAGTGCAAATTACCGTCCACGATCCGTAGCACCGGCTTCAGCAAAATTCAACATTTAATCATGGTAATGGTGAAATTTTGAATTTAGAAACATCCGCAGATGTATTCATACGGCGGTCATCATGTAACCTTCAATGTGCCATTCCATGAAAAGCGGCGTATTATCCCCAAGTAAAAGAATGCGTGTGCCTTAAAGGAGAAAACAATGGGCGGAACTAAATAAAATGGAATTTCGAAAGGGGATCAGAGGTTATGAAAATCTGGAAACAAAATGATCCCTCGGAAGCATTAATCACAACAAAATTACATGAAACTTGCAAACTCGGATTGATTGAGTCTGTACATGTAGGACAATGAAAAAGTGCAACATCCCCCACGCCCTCTAGCATTATAGACATAAACATAATAGAATTATGTGTTAAACACTGTTTTATATATTGTATGATGAAACATACTGATACATACTAATAATTATTGCATGATAATAATCTAGAGTGTATAGTGATACCTATTGCTTTGACCATGAAAGTAAACTGATACATTGTATGACTGTCATTGAGTTCATATATTTCATTACTAAATTAATACATATTGATACATATAATGATAGTGAACAAATACATTGTTTGATAGATAAAAATAATATCAGTAATGATGAATCCATTTTACAAAATAAAAGTAGTGAGATACAGTGGCTAAAGCTATCTTAAAACTACTTTAACTTACAATCAGATTTATATATGTGTTTTACGTACATGTCACCTGCAAACTCTTCCTATGTTAAGAGGCACAATTTAGATATTATACCATTGCTTGAAAGTGATGTAATGGTATATAGTAAAATAAATGATATAATGATTCTTGGAGACACAAATGCAAGGATTTCTAATGAGTCTGATTTTGTAGAATGTACCTACATCGAATAATATTACCGCCTTCGTGGTCGAGGAGTTAGAGTCGATGACTTCTAATCCAATTACCTCTCTGGCGTGGGTTCGATCCCCGGGAGATGCTTTGGTAGTTTAGCATGGAGGAAGGTAGTCTAGTACTGGTGTAACTCTCCAGGAACGATGGTTAGGAAACTACCCGCCTATATAATATGCCTGAAATACTGTTGGGAAAAGGCGTAAAATGAAACAAACAAACAAACAAACAAACAAAGAAACAATCTCATAATATTAGTAACAACAGAGCAACCGGGAGGCGTCACAGTTATGACCCTGTTTGTAATGCTAGAGGTATAGAACTGTTAGATTTTTGTATTGCTGCTAATTTAAATATTTTAAATGGTCAAACATTTGGTGATATGTTTGGCAAATATTCCTGTTTTAAAAACTGTATAGAAATGTTGTATATTTTTATGTACACAGGCATGAGTGCTAAGTGACCATGCACGATTATTGGTGAAACATAATGCAGATTTTGTGAAGGATGATATACATAGTAATCTGTCAAAAGTCCCATCTTCATATGTATGGAAAAAAGAATCCTCACTTGTATTAACTAAAATGTTTGAATCAGATATGATAAAGTCTAAAGTTAAAGCTTTTTATTAATGATCGTGCAGATAATAATACTAGTATATTAAATCCAGTCGATCATATTTTCAAAAATTCTAATGACATAATATATCATATATCATATATATAAAAGCCGTTGAAGAAAAAGACGCAGTGTAAATCTACTAAAAGGAATATAACTTAAAGGAAATGGGTTGAGATAACTATTGTTACAGTAAAGTTTTGGCATATTCAAAAAATCTGACAGACCCAACAATACGAGAGTCCTTTTATAAGTTTAGGAAAATGTGCAGTCAATGTTGCAAGCGAAAAAAAAGTTAAAGCAAAATATTATGCAAAGATTGGATTCTTTATATGAAATCAACCCCAATGAAAATTGGACACTGGTTAAAGAAATAAAAGAAGATTGCACCCAAAGTGAGGACCAATCCCAAAAACTATCTTTAGATAGATAGATGGGTTAAGCATTTTTCAACACCTTTTAGCAAAAATGAGGAATTTAAAAGTAGAAATTTGTTTTTAAACAATGTCTGCATGAAAAAGAGAGTATTAGGTCATTTACTGATCTGGATTTTAAAACCACCGAAAAGAAAAAAAAGCATAGCTATTAAGAAATTGAAAAATAAAAAATCCTCTGAAATGTTTAAATGCGACAAACAAGTCTAATGCCAGGTTTTATTAAGTTTTTTTAATACAATTCTATCTACAGGATCCTACCTTTCTCAGTGGAAACTAGGTTATATCAAACCCCTTTACAAAGGCAATGATTTAAATGACCCTGCTAACTACCGTGGTATCTGTCTTATGCCATGTTTATCGAAAGTTTTTAATAGTTAAAAAAAAATATTTTGATAAATACAATATTATTCATAAAGCAGAAATAGGTTTTCAACCGAAAACCAGAACATCCGACCATATGTTTGTAATGAGGATATTGATTGAGAAGTCTGTAAGTAATGGGTCTAAACTTTTTGCATGTTTTGTTGACTTTGTGAAAACGTTTGACATTGTAATGCTTTCTATACTATTTTACAAACTTTGTGATGTGGGAATATCTGGACCCATTTA